CCCACCTTGCCGAGGTTGTGACAGGCACTACACAAATGTAAGCTGCCTCGGACTCCAACAGAGGAAGGAATATCAGCCCCTTCCTCTACACACACCTCCCGAAGCCAAGCAGAACTTTCAGGGTATATCGAATACATTTTTAAAAATTCATTCATGGGACGAGGGCGAGGCCAGCATTTATTGCCCATCCTTAAATCGCTCAGTTAAGAGTCAACTGCATTGCTGTGGGACTGGAGTCATGTGTAGGCCCAGTTGAGGTAAGGATGGCAGTTTCCATCCCTAAAGGACATTTCTGGGATTTCCCCCCCCCCCAAACAAAATCAACAACGGATTCAAGGTCATCTTAATTCCAGATTTTAACTGAATTCAAAATTCCACCATCTGCCGCGGCAGGATTTGAACACATGTCTCCAGAACATTATCTGGGTCTCTGGATTAATCATCCACCAAGAATACCACTGGGCCGTTACCTCCCTGTCTGTGACAACAAGGTTCAGGGCTGGATGCTGCTTGGCCTGCTGTGTTCATCCAGCCCTGAACCTTGTTGTCTCGGATTCTCCAGCATCTGCAGTTCCTACTATCTCTGACTCAATTTTAACCTCCCTGTCTGTGGTCTCTCTCTCGCTCATCAACTCCACCCACTCTCTGGTATGTAGCTAGCAGACTGGCAAGGCAGCCAGTTGGAACGTGATGTGTGAAGGTTCAGTCAGCAGATGACTGATGTTACTCCGAACCCCAGCTCCAGCGAATCAACTCAGCTCTCCCTAAACTTCCCTGCTTGTCTCCGCCTTTAAGACACCCCTGAAAAAGGCAGCTCTTTGAGCTCGTGGCCACCCGTCCCTGATATCTCATGAGGCTCGGGTGAGATTTTTGTTCGATTTAAGCTCCTGTATAGTACCCTTGATCTGCACCCCAGCCTGGGATTGTTCCAAAGTAGCTGCTGTATTACTCTGCAAATGACCCAAAGTAAAAATTGCCCTGCTATGTCTAAAGGAAAGCCATTATTAAACTTGAAAGTGCTCAAAAATGGATGTTACCGGGACTGGGAGGGTTTGCGCTGTAGGAAGAGGCTGGGGCTATTTTCCCTGGAGCATTGGAGACTGAGGGGTAACGTTATAGAGGTTTATATAATCAAGAGGGGCATAGATTTGGGACAAAGATGGTGGCTATTTACCCAAAGTCCAAAACTAGAGGTCATAAGTTTAAGGTGAGAGGGGAAAGGTTTAAAAAAGAACTGAGGGGCAACTTTTTCACGCAGAGGGTGGCGCGTGTATGGAATGAGCTGCCAGAGGAATTGGTGGAGGCTGGTACAATTACAACATTTAAAAGGCATATGGATGGGGACTTGAACAGGAAGGGTTCAAGAGGGATATGGGCCAAATGCTGGCAAATGTAAGTAGTTCAGTTTAGGATGTCTGGTCAGCACAGATGAGTTGGACCGAAGGGTCTGTTCCATGCTGTACACCTCTATGACTATTTCCTGTCCACAAGGTGTAGGTCAAATCCAACACTGCTCCATCAGTCCATACATAACGATCAGCGATGGCAGGAGTCATCAAAAGGTGCTATCAAATGGTAGTTACACGGCCGTCCTGCTCACCAATGCCCAGGTTGGTTCCTCTGGAGCGCCCAGTTTCTGATTTCATTACAGCCTTGGCCTAAGCATGGTCAAAAGAGCCAAACTCCAGTGGTGGGGTGAGAGAGACTGCCCTTGACATGAAGGCCAAATCTGACAGAGTGTGGCATCAAGAAATTCAAGGTAAACATAAGTCAATGGGAACCATCCCAGGCACAAAGGAAGATACCTGTGACTGACCGAGATCAATCATCTCAGCCCCAGGACATCCCTGCAGGAGCTTCTTAAAGGACTGTCCTCGGCCCAACCATTTTCAACTGCTTCCAGAAGATGTCGCAGCAGAAGTAGGGTCTGCTCCACCATTCAATGGCTAATCTGATAATCAACTCTACTTTCCTGTCTTTTCCACATAACCTTTGATTTTCTCGCCAATTAAAAATAAGTCAATCTTAGACTTGAATATACTGAATAACCCAAACTCAACAGCCTTCTGCACTAAAGCATTCACTCCCCTCAAAGAGAAGAAATTCCTTCCCATCTTTGTCTTCAATGGGCGATCTCGCCCTCTAAGACGATGCCCCTCTGGTCCTAGACTCTCCCACAACGGGAAGCCACATCTCCCCTGTCAAGCCCCCCTAAGAATCTTATATTTCAATAAAAAAATCTTCTCATTCATCTAAAGTCCAATGCATACAGGCCCGAATCTACTCGACCTCTCAATTCTCCATACCTGGGATGAACCAAGTGAAACTTCTCTGAACTGCCTCCAGTGTGAATCTATCTTTCCTTAGAGAAAGGACCCAAAATATTCCAGCTGTGGTCTGACTCGTGTCTACTATAGTTTAAGCAAGACCTTCCCATTTTTAATCCTCTAATCTCTTTGATAAAAGACCAGCATTCCTGGGACAAGCCAAGCAGAGACAGGCACGGGAATTCCTAGAAGTCTGGTACTCCACGAAGAAATAAGCCATCACATAGAACTTGACCCCATATACACTCCACTACAAAGGAAAACCGGAAGTGAGGCAATCCAGCTCAACGGACTCCAGAGTTTAAAAAACCAGGCGGGAAAACACACTGACACTTCATTGGAGGCTGCACTGATGATGTTACCCAGCACGGTAATGAAACGTCTGCGGAACAACATACCAGCTCGGCGAGCCAACCAACCACAACACCCACAACCCGAGCTACAAATCTACTCCAAAACCTTAGAGACCAGCATTCCATTTGCCTTCAGTTACCCATTGAAATTAATTGCTAGCTTCTTCAACAACCTATCCCTCCATCATTGGGTCAGAAGTGGGGCTGTTTGATGATAATTGCACAGCCTCCAGCACCATTTGCAACACCTTGAACATGCATGCCCATTTGCAGATAGACCTGGGCAACAAATCTACCAGTGGCAGGCAATGACAGGACCAAAATATTTCCCGTCACATTCGATGGCACTAACATCACTGAATGCAGCACCCTCTAGGAGTTACTATTGACCAGAAACTGAACTGGACCACCATATAAATACAGTGGCTACAACAAGTCAGAGACTGGAATCCTGCAGGGAGTAACTCACCTCCTGACTCCCAAACCCTGTCTGACCATTGACAAGGTACAAGTCAGGAGTGTAGGGAATACTCCCCATTTGCCCCAGATGGGGGCAGCTCCAACAACACTAGAAGTTGACACCACATCTGCAAACATCCATTCCCTCCACCACCAATGCTCAGCTGCAGAAGTGCATACCATCAAGATGCACAAGGCTCCTTAGACAGCAACTTCCAAAACCTGTGACCTCTACCCCCTAGAAGGACATGGGCAGCAGGTACATGGGAACACCAGCCCCCGCAAATTCCCCTCTGAGCTACATACCATCCCAACTTGGAAATATATCAGCCGTTCTTTCACTACTGCCGAGTCAAAATACCTTTGAAATAACCTGCTCCGCCATTCAATAAGGTCACAGCTGTATTCCAAGATCCATGCTTCCATTTATCCCCACCCCGGTCCTATCCTGGCATTCTTTCCCCAACAGTAAGGTAGATTCACCTACAGCACAGACTGCAGTAGTTCAACCGCTACTTGGCACCACTTTCTCAAGGGGCAGTTAAGGATAGGCAACAGGTTACAACATCCACACTCCATGAACAAATAAAGTTTGCACTTGACACTACATGCCTCAGTGAGAATCACAGAATCCCTACAGTGTGGGAGCAAACCATACACTTGAGCCCATACAGTTACGATGCAAGATATTTCTCTTCATTTACCGTGTGAATCACAGGATAACACAACAGGATAACAATGGAATAATCAGAATAACATCTTTTACGTTGCAAATCCCCAAAACACCTCACAGGCACAATAACAGCCAAAATTCAACACCGAACACAGAGAGACATTAGACTGGCCATCAAAATCCCAGTCAAACATTTTGAGAGAAAAAGAGTTAGAGGGCCAAGGGTTTAGGGATGAAATCTCAAAGCTCTGGCCCCAATTCACCCAGGCAGCTGAAAGCACAGCTGCCAATGGCACAGCAATGGGAATCAGAGGGTTGCAGGAGGTGACAGAGACAGGGATGGGGTGCAGGGGGCTGGAGGAGGTGACAGAGACAGGGAGGGGTGGAGGAAGAGATAGAGACAGGGAAGGTGGGGGGCGAGGGGTTGTGGAGACATGGGAGATGAACTGAAGGGGGAGGGGTGGGTAAGAGGGGATAGTGGGGTAAGAATTGGGGAGGAGGAGGAGGAGGAGGAGACATACAGGTGTCACACCAGGGGAAACAGAGGGCAAATAAAGGAGTGAAAAGGGTGTACCACAGCACTGGGTCATAGAGTCTCTCGGACTGTACTTCTCCATCAAGTTTGTTATAAATTTGAAAAAATATAGTTTATTCATAAAAATATCTGTACATATACAGAGTCACTAAACCAGTTCAGTTCTGTACTGTAGCAGATGAAGGAACAAACAAACTTAAGGCATTTCTTACTTGTACAAGAAACACCTACCTACTGTAGTCCCATTTTCCACCAGTTTGCCCCAAGCCTTGTATGCTTTGGCTCTTTAAGTCATAACCTGCATAGTTCTTAAAATGTTGCGAGGGCTCCCGCCTGTACCACGCTGTCGATCAGTGAGTTCTATACACAGCCAGCACCTTCTGGATGAAAGGAAAACGTTCCTCAAATACCCTCCTGCTCCTTGCGTGAAAATTCTTGCCCTCCTTTAGCTACTCCACTGAGGGGGCAAAGTTTCTCCAACGCCTACCCTGCTCAGAGCCAAGTACACTTGGTAATCTTCCTATCTACATGCTCGTAAAAGGTGGGTGGGGATGGAAAAGTCTTGCAGGGGGACAGCAGTATAAGGGTAACTGCCCACTTTCCCGAGACAAGGACGGACACACACACCCCCCCCCCTACCCAGCCAGACTCACCTCCAAAGGGGTCATGCAGCCCCTAAGGAAAGGCTCCATGTCCAGTCAATTTCAACGCGGCCCCTTCACAATTGATACATCGCCACAGTTTGATACATTCCGGCAGCACTGCGCAGGCGCCCACCTGACCCCGCCCCCTCGCTCTCTGTCCCTCCCGGAACTGAAGGACCTTCAGGGTGGGAATGAATGAGAAATTGTTCTTTTCAAAACAAAACGCTATAATTCGAATAAATTACTTTTTTTTTTCTTGGTGGGGTGCAGGCATGATCAATGATTGTTGCTGAGCCACACCGGACTATCCACCATGTTTCGGCTGGGGGGGGGGGGTCACAAAAACAGGGATTACTGGAAAAGCTCAGCAGGTCTGTGGAGAGAAAAGCAGGGTTAACGTTTCCGGTCGAGTGACCCTGCCCTCAGGTGCTAGGAGAGGCGGAATGTCTGATTTCAATACTGACACCTATGTTTTGGGTTCTTCAGAAACGGACTGGAACCGTTAAACTTTGCTTTCTCTCCAGAAGATCTTAGAGAATATAAAGGTGGATAAATCTCCAGGATCTCATCTGATGTATCCCAGAATGTTGTGGGAAGTAAGGAAGGAAATTGCAAGACCCCTTGCAAAAATATTTGCATCATCTATAACCATGGGTGAGGTGCCTGATGACTGGAGGGTGGCTAATGTTGTATTTTTGTTTGAGAATGTTTGTAAGGAGAAACTGGGGAACTATAGACCTCTGAGTCTGACTTCAGTTGCGGGTAAATTGTCGGAGGTGATTATAAAAGGTAGGACTTATGGATATTTAGAGAGGCAAAAATTGCTTAGGGATAGTCAGCATAGTTTTGTGCGAGGAAAATCATGTCTCACAAACTTGATTCAGTGTTTTGAGGAAGTTACCAAAAAGACTGATTAAGGCAGAGCAATAGATGTTGTTTATTTGGACTTTAGTAAAGCCTTCGACAAGGTTCCGCACAGTGGACTAATTAGTGAAGTTAGGTCACGGGATTCAGGGTGAGCTTGCCAATTGGACACATAATTGGCTTAACAACAGGAGACAGAGCATGGTGATGGAGGGTTGCTTTTCAGACTGGAGGCCTGTGACCAACAGTGTTCCATAGGCATTGGTTCTGGGTCCTCTTTTGTTTGTCATTTATATAAATGATTTGGATGAGAATTTAGAAGGCATGGTTACTAAGTTTGCGGATAACATCAAAATTGGTGGCATCGTAGACAGTGAAGAAGGTTTTCTAAGATTACAAAGGGATCTTGATCAATTGGGTCAATGGACTGAAAAATGGCAGATGGAGTTCAATCTGGATAAATGCAGATTGGTACAACAAAAGAGGGCAGGTCTTATACAATTAATGGTAGGGCCTTGGTTAGTGTAGAACAGAGGGACCTAGGGGTACACGTATATAATTCTTTGAAGTTTGTGTCACATATAGACATGGTGGTTGAAAAGGTGTTTGGCATGCTTGCCTTCATTGCTCAGTCCTATGAGGATAGGAGTTGGGAAGTCATGTTGAGGTTGCACAGGATGTTGGTGAGGCCTTTTCTGGAGTACTGTGTGTCTAGTTCTGGTCACCCAGTTACAGGAAGGATATTATTAAGCTGGAGAGGGTTCAGAGGAGATTTACCAGGATATTGCCCAGTGTGGAAGGTTTAAGTTATAAAGAAAGGCTGGATAGGCTGGGACATTTTTCACTGCAATGTAGGAGGTTGAGAGCTGACCTTATAGAAGTTTATAAAATTACGAGAGGTATAGATAGTTAATGGTAGTTGTCTTTTCCCTAGGAAGGGGTGATTTCAAAACTAGGGGTCACATTTTTAAGGTGAGAGGAGAGAGATTTAAAAAAAATATGGGGGACAATTTTTTTTTTACACAGAGGGTGGTTTGTGTGTGGAATGTACTTCCTCAGGAAGTAGTGAATGCAGGTACAATTACAAAGCTTAAAAGACATTTGGATAGGTACATGAATAGGTAGTGTTTGGAGGGATTTGGGGCAAGCACAGGCAGGTGGGATTAGTTTAGTTAGGAATATGTGCGGCTTGGACTGAAGGATCTGTTTCCATGCTGGAGGACTCTGACTCTTCACAGATGTTGCCAGACCTGCTGAAATTTTCCAGCAATTTGTTTTTCTTTCAGATTTCCAGCATCTGCAGTTCTTTCAAGTGTTTTTTTTTAATCTATCTATTCTATCCCATTTTCCACCACTTGGCCTCGTATTCATGGCTTTTCAAGTGTTCATCTAAAACACCTCTTAAATGTTGTGATGGTTTCTGCCTCCACCATTCTTTCAGGCAGTAAGTTGCAAATTCACACCCCTTTTTGGGTGAAAATTATTTTCCTGAAGTCCTCTCAGAATCTCTGCTTTTTACCTTAAAACTGTGCCCTTTAGTTATTGACCAGTTATTACTGACGGAGGGGGAAATAGTCTCCCAATCTATGCCCCTCAGACCCGTGAGCAATTTTCAGCAAAACAGGCCTAAATCTGCCTGGAAATATTAAAGCACAAAGCCTTTCCCATCAGTATAAATTGTTGGAAAAGCTCAGCAAGTCAGGCACCATCTATGGAGAGAAATCAGAGTTCTGAGGAAGGGTCACTCAACCCGAAACGTTAACTCTGCTTTCTCTCTCCACACATGCTGCCAGATCTGCTGAGCTTTTCCAGCAACTTCTGTTTTTGTGCCTTTCCAGTCTGGTTGTGTTTCCCATTCTCTCTCCTTTGCCGATGGAGCTGTACTCCTCTGTGAGGATCAAGGAGCCCAATTATCATGGAAAGAACCATAGAACCCCTACAGTGTGGAAGCAGGCCATTCGGCCCATTAAGTCCACACCACCTCTCCGAAGAGTATCCCACATATACTCACACCCCTACCCTATCTATCCCTGTAACCTTGCTTTTCCCATCACTAATTGACCTAACCTGGACACAATGGACAATTTAGCATAGCCAGTCCATCCTAACGTACACATCTTTGGACTGTGGGAGGAAACAGACACAGGTGGGGAACAGTTGCCCATGGGTGGGATCAAACCCCGGGTCCTTGGTGCTGTGAGGCGGCAGTGCTGACCACTGAGTCACCGAAAAGAAATTGCACTTCGTGACATATCCCAAAACACTTTACAGCTAATGTTCGCAGTGCTGTGAAATAGGAAACACAGCAGCTAATTTGCACTTAGAAAGCTCTCACTAATATAGAACTAATGGGGTACAAAATTACAACGCTGTGGAAAGAGAGCAGTGGGAGAATGGGATTTATGGAAGAGCTCTTTTTGAAAGCTGACTCGGGTAAAACAAACCATTCCCCTTCAAGTATCTAGTTTCCATTTTGAAAGTTCCTGTTGAATCTGCTCTCACCACCCTTTCAAGGCAGTGCATTCTAGACCACAACTCGTGACATCAAAACAAACATTTCAACATCTCCCTCGTGCTCAACCTTCCTGCCAGTTATTCAATCTGTCGAAATTTAATCTCCTCATGTCTTTCTACACTCCCAACTTCTCCACAGGAGCTGAGGTATTTGATCTGATGTCCTGTTCTCTCTACATTTACAGAATCGCAGATGGTCACAGCACCGAAAGCAGCCATCCTGCCCCTCATGTTTGCACATTCTCTGTGAACGAGCAATTCACTTCTTGCCATTCCCCTCCCCCCCTCCTGCCAATAACCCAATTTGCCTTTCAGATAACTGTCCCAGCTTGGAGTTATTTCACCATTCTTTTACTTTCGCTGGGCCAAAATCCTGGCCCTCTGTCCCTAACAACACTGCGGATGCACCATCTTTAATGAACTGCAGTTCAAGGCAGCAGCTCACCACCACCATCACCTTCTCAAGGGCACCATGGGATGGGCAAAAAATGCTGGCGTTCTCCAGAGATGGCAATATCAATAGCACCCATTCCTAAAGCAATCTGTTTATATCACAGCTTCATTGCCCCAAACTGGATGCCTGATCGTGTGCCACTCCCTTCGGCACCGCACAATAACGTGAGCCTCTCTCTCTGGAATGGGTCACAAGTTTCTGACTCAGTAGGCTGTGACTTCTCATCTCATTGACCCTTGAAAGCAGGAAGGCCTTCCAGCTCTTCCTTTCCTGAGCCCTTGTTCAATGGAAGGATTGGTACCTGTCTCAGACTGCAATCGCTCCCTGGCTTGGGGGGGTGGGGGAAATACCTCCCTCTGGTGGCTTAACCGAGATCAGCAATTGTCGGTGGTTTCGTTCTATCCTTGCGCCATTAACACCGATGATTTCATTCCCTAATTTAACCTGCCTTTCTCTTCTCAGCCTCATGGTGACACGCACACAAACTGGGATGTTTTAAGACACAGCGAGATTTGGTCAGCTTCTAATCCTGTGTATCACATGGTTGGCATCACTTGCAAGTGGTTACCATGTCTGCTTAATAAATAGGCTGCCACCGGCACCTCTTTCCCATAGTCATCTCTATAGCTGTACTCAAAACAAAGGGTAAACCCCAATATGAGAGCTCTTGCGGTTCAGTGGAAGTATCCCTATATCTGGGCCAGGAGGCTTAGGCTGAAGTCCCACCGAGCCCTGACACGCATCAGTCCTGAGGAAGGGTTGCTGGACCTGAACTGTTTACACTGACTTCTCTCCAACGATGCTGCGGAGCTCTTCCAGCAATTTGCGTTTTTGTTTCTGACTTCCAGCATCCACAGTTCTTTCAGTTTTTATGACGCATCACTGCATGTCTGAACAGTTTGATTAAAACTAATTAGACACAAGAGAGACCATTACCTCCCCACAATGAGAAGGCTAGACTGCAGCAATGTCACACTGAGCAGCCCCTTCTCAGTGATATCTGTGCAGCCACATACACAGGGACTCAGTTACAGACTCAAATTAAATTCGAAGTACAACTGAGGTCTTTGTGTATTTTATTAATGTATTGTTGTTTCCAAAGCAAAAACGCACACCGTGCTACCAACCAGGGTCAAGAGATAGAGATTTTCACGCGCAATGTTTTACTGTTTGCAGCCAATAACCACTGCTAAAGAATGTGATATTCGTCATATTGTAAGGCCAGTTTGTCTGGAGCAGCAACATGCAGATCACTGTATGGACAGAATTCTCCATTCAGGTCAGCTGGGACAACCCAGCTCTACTTCCTCTCCTCCTCATTCTCCTTCTTGTTATCCTTTGAGGTCTGCGACTGTAGGGAGCCCATGGCATTCCGAATGGCCTCGTTGTTCGGGTCAACGCCAGGCAGATTCTCCAAGACGCTCTGCAGGAACTCCGGGTCTTCCATCACATCGTAGTTGTCTTCCTCCTATTGGTACAGAAAATCGCCAGTAAAAGGGCAGGATGGGTTGGAAAGAGAAAGAGTGCAACTTTTCAACTTCGAAAGAATCACATGCAACACCTCAGCAGCATAACTGCAGCTACAATTGCAGCAGGACGATTCCACCCAGGAGGCCCAGGCACTGGGTTAGGTGCCTTTGGCCAGGTAACCCTTGGTTGTTAGACCAGGGAATAGGATCCAGCTCCTGATCCCCGCAGCCCAGAGACACCGGACAATATGTAGCTTTAAGACGTGTGTTTTGTCTTGGTTACTTTTAGAGAGCGATGGTGGGGTGGGGGGGGAGCAGTTGCCAAGTAGTCTATGGAAAGATAAACGACTTGTGAGGCCTTGGGGTTTTTTGTGTTAAAAAAGAAGCTGGATCAATGGAAGCTGCCTGAACAGGTAGGGCCTAGCTCTCACAGGTCCCGGATTTGTAGTTTTAGCTTTCAGCAGTTGTTGCTGGGGTTAGAAGGCAACCGGCTGCTACATACTCTCTCTCAGAATGATCTCTTGATGTTCTTTCCTCCTGGATTGGAGAACTGCATGTTCTGAGAATCAGTGTTTGAATTTGCCTTTTTGCCAAGGGACTTGTTTATAGGATAGGTATATACTGGAATAGTTCATCAGTAACAGTCACTGTATCTATTATTGGGTTGTTTTCCAATAGAGTGTAAGTTATTCCTTTTGTTGTATTTAACTATAGGTGTTTGAATAAATGGTGTCTTGCTTAGCATGGAGTAGTTTGACCAATTGAATTGCATCTGGAACACAGCACCTCGCATCCACCTTTAGAATAAGGTAAAGTTAGGGTCTGGGCTACTTTCTTAATATATTTTGAGGAGGTCTGGTTTGGTTTGGTCCATAACAAAACCAACGAGAGAGCGACAACAAATATTGGGGGCATGGGGCGAATATGACAAGGGAGTGCATGTTTGCGAGAGCGTGAGCATGTAGGATGAGTAAGAGAACAGAGAGAGAGGGAGAGAGAGAGAGAAGCAAATTTAAGACAGAGGCAGTAGATACAGAAGAGGGGAGCAAACATGGTGGGGGGTGGAAAGAGAGAGGGAAACAAATACAGAGAGGAGGGCTGAATGAGAGAAAGTGAAGGACAGAATATGGGAGAGACCAAAAGGAGAGGGAGGCAGACAATGCGAGTGAGCAGGACAGTGCGAGGGAGAAGGAAAGCAAGGCAGAGAACACGGGACAGGGTGAATAATTGCGTAACAAAAATACTAACGTAACTGACAGAGGAGAAGGGAAGAAAAAGGAAGACAGGACAAAACAAACGTGCTAAGACCTATTGTGTTGAGATTGGGGGCTGCGAGGGAGAGAAATGGTGAGTGTGACAAACAAGAGAAGAGAATCTGGTGAGTCGGGGGGCAGTGGGGGAGTGGTTTGGGAAGGTAGCACAGACTTACCTTGGCTGAAGCCTCGGACGTGTCCATGGCCGTGCCAGTTTCCATGGCGGACAGACCCTCGGAGCTCCCAAACTCTAAATAAGAAGGACAGAACAAAGTGAGTTCGCTGAACAGAAGTGAATGCTGACATTTTCTGTCCTGCTTACAGCTCTCTGCACAGCGCACTGCAGGAAGTACCTGCGGCCTGAAGTGACATCTGCATGGCATAGGCTATCTGCTCTTCTTCAGACATGCTGCTGAAATCAGGCAGCCCAGTCCCTACAGTCTCCGGCTGGCTCATGGACATCTTCAGCAGCGCATCGTCTGGCTCTGGGGGAAACAAAACAGCAGACAGTGTCCCCTCAGCACCCACCACTCACAAACCTACAGATGTGCTAAAGGCAAGAGACCAGTGATGGATAAACCATACAGAGGGCCAGGCAGACAACGGAATGTTGGGGGAGGGTGGGCATAGTGAGAGGTACGAGGGAGTAAGACAGTGATAAAACTGATAGGTAAAACCGATAGGGAGAACGGTGAAGAAAAATGAGCAAGTGCTAAGGCTGGGGTATAGGGTGAGTGGTAGGGGAAACCGAGATGGGGTTAGAGAAACAGAGAGTGACAAAGAAGGGGGAGGGAGTGATAAAGCAGGGGTGGAGAGGAAATGATGGGGACACAGGAACAGAAATAAGTAAAGCAGGGGAGAGTGAGCCACCATAGTTGGAGGGAAGTGGGAATGGTGCAGAGGCGTTAAGATAGACTGAGTGCACAGACCTGTGCGTTCTGATCAATCTTCAGCGACTGGGAGTCTTTGGGTTTGGCAGCAGGACATACACAATTGTCGGGACACAGGCTGAGCACCCGTCTCCCAGACAGAGGTGACGCCCATCTCCCACCCAGTACAGGTGAACCAGACCCAAACCCCTACCATTGTGGCAATTAAACATCACCACCAGGAGCTCAGGAAGGATCTACCAGCAAATAGCAAGGAAATCAACTTAGTGAGCAGTTTTCAAAGGGGCTTTTGATGGGTACTGTTTCCGTAGTTAGCTAGTTTGGGAACGAGCAGCAGCTGGGCTGCCTCATGCGGTTCAGTAGCACACGGACACATTCATATTTCGGATGGGCCAACCGAGAACGAGGACTCGGGCTCTGACAGGAAATGGACAGGAGTCTGAAGGCCGAGGACAGTGTCTCGGTGGTCGCTTGGTACTGGGTCAAATTCACACCGTCATTCATCGGAGTCACTACGCCTGCTTCCACAGCAGACGCTGCCGCAGCTCGCCTGGCCTCCTCTTCCTGACGCTGTCTCTGCTCCTCCATCGACACTCGGAGAGCCTGCGGAGAGTCGGAGGGAGTGAGGAACCTGCAATTAGCTCACTCTGTCAGTAAAACCGAGCCGTGTAAAATCACACGAGTTTCCCTGAGCGGCGACCCTCCCACAGAGCCCACCCTCCCACAGCGCCGACTGGAAAAAAATACACGCCTGCTCCTCACCAGGGCCAGTTCAGGGTCTGCGCTGGGATCCACTCCGAACTCGAAGTCACTGGCCCCGAGCCCCAGCATGGTACCGCCCTCCCCAGCCAGGATCGGGGAGCTGATGAGAGCGTCTGCCAGGCTGGGTCCGGGGGGAACCGTCACCAGGTGGGAGCCTGTTCCGTCCTTCCCATTCAGCGCATTGATGAAGGCAGTCAGCTTCTCTGTGTTGGCTTCCTGAAGGCAGTGGCAGGACGGTGGGTTAGAGAAATTAATCAGCTCAACAGACCTGACCGGCAAACCCCACGCACCAACCACCCCCACCCCCCACCAACCACACGGAAACGTCGCCAAGGTGCAGACCGGGAGCACTGTCACAGAATGCAACGCCAGGCCACACTCAGAGATACTCGGGACAGGACTGCAACAGCTCAGTCAGTAAGATTAGCTTTAAGAACCGTTTGAAACAGCGAAAGAGACTCAGAGATTTAAGGAGTGAACTGCTGAACTTGCAGCTCCCCAGGCAGCCGTAGGCATGGCTGCCAACACGGTGTGTTGGGAATCAGGAGATATCCTTGAAGGAAAAATTAGAGGAGCGTAGATAGGGAGAGACGCCCCATCCCCAGGTTCTTCCATCCCTGACCCTGGACACCGCCCAGTCCTCAGCAATCCCCGCGCTATGCCCATCGGTCAATTTAGCCACAACTAGGTCCCTCACACAACCCGAACGACGCATCGACCCAAGTTCAACCACACATCCCCCCCAGCACCGACACCTCCCCAAAACCCACTGCCACCACTCACCTCCTCTCCAAAGTTCACGATATCCACATTCACCTTCTCTTTTTTCAGCCTCTTGGCTAGTTTCACCAACTTCCACAGACAGAGGAGAGAGAGAAAAAAAAATTGTAGGGCCGTGACAGACAACACTCACAGGAACCAGTGCAGCTGCCCTGTATTTTAACACCAGTGAATGGTGGAGCATCACCGAGGGGCTGACTGGCCTACTCCTATCTCTTCCAGTCTGGGTCAGGCGTACTCCAGAATTCAGACACCGAGATCTCCCTAATATACCAGCGGAACACTTGGCCTCGGGCGCATCAGGACACAATTTGGCAAGAATGCCAAATCTCAAAAGGGAACATCAATTTACATCGCATGGGAAGATGGCGCCTTGTGTGGCGACGTTATACAGTTTTCACCGTACTCCTGTACTTGAGTACATGTGACTATAAAATCTAAATCAAATCGGATAGTGGGCGGACTCCAATTGGGAGAGGCAGGGTCTGTAGGTTTGGCGTTTGCATCATCGGGAAACTTCGCTCGCACGTTTCAGCAAATTCTTGCGATTAAGCAGATAGTCTAGTTTTAGTGAGACAGAAACAGCCCTGGGACTAATAATGAGCAGCCCCAGGACAGGAAGGCAGGGCTTCAGTTTAATGACTCATCCAGTCGGCAGTGCTCTCTCACTGCTGGGGGAGAGACCACGGCCCTGGGTCTCTGGCAGAGGGTCAGCCCCAACGACAGGGCACCTGAAGCATGGGCTGATGTTCAACAAGTACAAACCTCCCAGCTTATTCCCTGAAACCAGGACCCCGCTAGGAGAGGGCGAGAGAGCAGCCGAGTCGTCTTGTTAATAATCATGCACCTAATTCGAGATTGTACCGTCTGAGTATATGAAGGGATACAGGGATTTGAGAGAGGAGTGTAAAGTGAGAACGGCTGGGTAGGTCAGTGCAGCGACAGTGACAAGCTTCAGGTCTACTCACGTCCTTCTCATTATCCTCCACGGGGCTCCCGACGAACACGATGATTCGGGTTTTGTGGTTCTTTCCCTGGCGGTGTTTAAGTGCCAGCTAGAGAATGGAGTGACATTTCGACAGAATTAACTGGGCCACACGGTCCCTCTGTCTTTTCTGTCTCACACAAGTCCTTTCCCTCCCTACTCTTCACCTTTAGCTACATTCCCTCCCCCCACCACTTTTCTCTCCCACCCTCCCAACGCCCCCAACATCGCCGCTATCTGCCACTCCCGGTGGCAGTGAGTCTCCACCCACCCTCTTCCCTAAACCATTCTTGCCATTCCCGGTGGAGGCAACATTATCGATTGATCAGAATCCAGCCAGTCATTGTGGTTTGTGGGATCTTACAGTGCGCAGACTGGCGGCCACAAGTGCCACGTCTCTCAGCCAGAGCACGCCCTGAAGGGTGCGAGGCTGTGCCAGGCGCTGGCTAAATGCAGGTTTGTCCCTGGGGAAGGGGCGGAGGGGGTAAATTCTCACTCACATGTGCGACCCGGATGCCAGTGCAAAAGCTGATTTTGCCTGTGGGCTGGACGGCGTGAAGCTTGGAGAGAATGCGACCTGTGTCGGGGGTCAGAGTGGTGAGCACCTCACAGTTACTGCAGCCAGGGAGGGGGAGGGGGAGGGGGAGGGGGAGGAGAGAGAAAACAAAATCAGAATTACAAATACAATCACTCAGGCTGCGGCAACACCGACGCTCAAACCCGGGGAAGTCGAAGGGTAGGCAGGCAATGGCTGAAAGACAGAGAGGATGCTGGGAAAGATGGGCTGAAGTGGGGAGTGCAGAGGGGGAGTTGGACTGTACATCATCAGATTCAGGACCACACAACTAGGAAACACCACCACGGGAGGGTTAACGCTGAGGGAGTGCCGCACTGTCAGTTCCGAGGCAGCACCATGCTGCCCCATCCTTCTAAAAGACAGACCACCCGGTCACTGTCATATCGCTGTTTGTGGGAGCTTGCTGTGCAGCTGCGTCCCAACAGCAGAACAGTGACTGCACTTTGTAAAAGGTCCTTTTGCTGGTTGAGGAACATCAAACCTCAGCCATAATAATCGTGAGCACCACCAGCGGCAGAAACTGCAGGAGGGGTTAGGGCTAGAAGTGGGGTTCTGCAACCACGACAGAAACAGCCTGAAACGGGGTTGGGGGTGGGCAGGGAAGACCATGGCGGGGAGGAGGGGTGGCCCATCTATGGGAAGGGAGAGTGCAAGAGGAGTGCGCGAGTACAGGACAGAGGGGTTTAGGGATAACAAGAGGAGAGGAAGGGTGGAAGGAAGGGACGGGCGCACACGAAAGCCTCACTCACTTGGCGAGTGTAATGAGCCCCACGTTGTTCTCTGGGTTGCTCCGCGTTTTGGAGTGACAGACGATGTTGACAGCATCTTGTTGAGCCTGCAGTCTGGTCGGCAGGAAATCCCCATTCCTCATGTACTCACTGTTGTCAACGCTGTGACCAGAATGGGAAGGAGGGGAGTCAAAGTGGGGAAAGAAACAAGAATGAGAAATCTCGCTTCACAACTCCAGTCAAACCCTCACTGAACCTGTACAGCAAGGCTGGCAGGTTCCTCCCACCTTCAGAACAGGAGGGGGAGGCCCATTCAGGCCCCTGATTCTGTCCTGCAACAGAGAGTTTATCAGCCCCTCTGTTCAGCTGGTTTGCAGATTCTCATGCAGTGGGCTGTCCCAACAGCCACCGATTCTCCCAGCCCATCGGGTAGGTGATGGAATCAGCATTTATCCAACCTGATTTGGATTCTGACAGCTTCACCCAGCAGAAGGGTCAGACACAAGAGAGACACAGATTAAAGAGAATCGGCAGAACAGCCAGGATGAGGAGTGGGGGATTTTTTGGTTTGATGTAATCTGGAACGTGTGCCTGAAAGGGCACTGGGAACAGATTGAATGGGAACCAGCAAACAAGGGGAAATGGGAGAAAAACTTAAAAGTAGAAAAATCTGTAGGGCCATGGGGATACAGAATGTAGAGGTTACAATGGGAGGACCCTGCAACAGTGAAGGAACGGACAACATATTCCTCAGTCAGGATCGAGACAGACTCGGAGGGGAACTTGCGGATCACCTTGCCCTTGTCCTTTAGTGAGCAGCTACCTACGGACTCAGCCAGAGAGTGGAGAGAGTCATCCTCATCTGCGAGGTACAGACAGTGAATGAATGAGGGGGTCCTGGGTTTGGCAGGTGCTGTCTAAGGAGCCTTGGTGCGTTGCTGCAATGCATCTTGTAGATGGTACACCCTGCTGCGACTGGGTGTCGGTGATGGGGGGAGCGGATGCTTGCAGATGTGGTGCCAATCAATCAATCCTAGATTTTTAAAAAATTTAATCTTATTTCTAATCAACCTGTTCAGGGACGTTATTAAACACCTCTGGAATAGGTGGGACCGGAACCCAGGCCTTCCAGGGATCGGGACACTATCTCTGCAACACAAGAAGGCCCCAAAATTGTCAAGCTTGAGTGTTGTTGGAGCTGCCAAGGGCAAGTGCGGAGAATTCCATCACACTCCTGATGTGTGTCTCGTGGATAATGGATGGGCTTTCAGGAGTCAGGAGGTGAGTTACTCGCTGCAGGATTACCAGCCTCTGATCTGTTCTTGTAACCGCAGTGGCTGGTCTAGTTGAGTTTCTACTCTATGGTAACTCACAGAATGGCGATAGTGGAGGAGGGGATTCAGTGATGGTAAGGGGCAACGGTTGGATTCTCTCTTGTTGGAGATGGTCATTGTCTGACATTTCTGTGGCCTGAATGTTAGTTGCCACTTGTCAGCCCAATTCTGGACGTCTTGCTGCATTTGTACATGGGATGCTTCAGTATCTGAGGAGTCACAAATGATGCTGAACACTGGGCAGTCGCTGCCAAACACATCCACCTCTGACCTTATGTTGAAGAAACAGTGTTTTTGCGCCCAGGACATTAGCCTGAGTAATTTCTGCAGTTCCCCAGTCATTCTCAGCACCCTAAGGAGGGAACTCTGAAAGCACTGAAGCAAGTTTATGCGTGTTTAGAAGGATGGAATGGAAGTACCTCTGTACCATTTGAGAACTTAGATCCAAACACAGGGTGTCTGTTTAAAACACCCCCACCACACAGTCTCAACACAGAGACTACACAAACCAGAGACAAACTGTTTGTGACTCTCCTCTATTCTGTATTGTGCTATACCAGGTCACAACCCTCCCCCTAAACTCCCAGGGAACAGCCTGTGAAATTGCAGCTCGGAGAAATGAGTTGCAAGGACTCAGTATTCTATCAGCTGTTGTCTGCGCTCGATACATCGGGGACTATTGTTCTGACCACTCTGAAAGCACCAACTGCCCAAGGACCTCCTCTCATGGCTCAGTGCCAAAGAACCAAACGCAAAAAGAGATGGGCTTTAAAGAGAGAGGGGGAAGAGGAGGGCAGAGAGAATTCCAGAGGTTAACACACCAGCAGAAAGCACAGTGCTAAGGGTGGAACAATGGGAATCGGGATGGCGCCAGAGGCTGGAATCGAAATAGCAGAGATCTCAGAGGGTTGTAGGGGGTAGAGGAGTTTCTAGAAATTGGGAGGAATACAGGGGTTGGAGGAAGTACACAAAGTTCCAATCTGTACACGGCAGACCGTGAACATGGACTTCCCAATTTGTACAATCATATACTGGGGGACAGTATATATACACATACACACACACACACACACACACACACACAC